ATGAACCAGGGACCTATAGAGTGAATGTTTGTGTTCCCTGCCCCCACTCCCCAATTCATATATTGAAACCTATATTGGCAGTTGAGCCAAATTAATATTAGTGCTTTTCCTATGCCTTTAGATATGAACTGAGCCTTTGATTTGTGGATGACTGCATGTATTGAGTCTGTTTTCAATTATACTGCAATAAATAGCTGCAATATATACTATATATTGGTAGATAGGAGATACAGTATATTTCATTGAAATTATGAGATTCAAAATTTATGAACAGATCATGAAGTGACAGTCTTCTAAATTTAATTTCATCTCCAGATGGTGAATCATTTTAATTGCTGTTCGTTTGTTATTCACTTTCAAGGAAACAACCCAAGTTCAAAAGTTTGCTCATGGGGTGAGGAAGGAAGGAGGAGGATAAAGCCAAACACAGCACCACGTAGAGAATGATGCAGAAAAGAAATGTGGATTTGCTTTGCCTGTGGTCCCTCTCATCAGAGCCTTCCCCCTTTGCGTTCAGACCATACACTGGAAACAAATCTACTACTTTAATTGTTTTATACTGTGATAAACATACTGTGAATGTTTTATACAATCCATTCAAGTATAGTTACACTTTTCCCTGAGTATTCAGAACACCTGTAACAGGTATTCTGACATCTCAGTCCTTCTTAGTAGCTTGTAGGCACAGAACTCCTTCACTTTTGCTGCTGCCTGGGAAAATGCATCTCCCATTATTAGTTCCTATTCGAACAACCCTGGTGCTAGGGATTAATTCTCTAATCCCCTAGAAAAATGGAGGTTTCTTGGCTATATTCTGTCTTTCCCTTATCATATTTCAGTTATTTATTCGAGTGTTTGCCTCTCCTTCAACTGGGGGTTTGTCCTATTTCTCAGGTGCGTTACACTATGCCTGGTACACTGAATAGGCACCCTGCATATAACTGTTTAGTGTACTCTGCACCAGATTCTGTGATACGCACCTTTGCCTTCCCAAAACCTAAGACACACTCTTGCCTTCCCAACAGTAGGTACGATATGTGCAAGAAACTACAAAACAATTTTTTTTAAATGTGTACATATGTCCATGGAAACTAAAATTTAAGAAAGGCTGACTGGAGAGAATATTAAGGAAGGCTTCAGAAAGGCCTGCTTTTGAACTGAGTCTTGAAATATGAAAAGGAGTTTGTCTAGTACCTAAGTCAATGGGAAGGGAAGCTGTGTATGCACAGAGGTATATTCATTTGAAAAGAAGACCATGGGCTTAGTTATCAAAGTGCACAGTTGTCACATTTTATGTGAGGGATGCATTTCTGATGACCTCACACAAATCAAATCCACACATTCCCTGTCCAAAATCGGCCAACGTTTCTGTTGACCGGCTAACATGGTGCTTGCTGCCTATGGGAGAACCCAGTTTATAAGTCACTTGGCCAGTGACTTTGAACTTTTGCCATTCTTCACCAGTGTTTTCTTTGTTAGGATCCACATGATTTCAAAATTTATTCATAAAGTAAGTTTGCTGATATTTCCATATTGCAGTATTTTAGATTTCCATAATTCAAATTCACATGAAATGTAGTCACATTATATGCCAATAGTAACAATCATTACAGTTAAACAAAGGTTTTCCTCCAGTGAATATTGAAAATATTAATTTTTATATGGAAAATTTCAGATCAACTTTAACATTGGATGGATTATGAAACCAGTAAAGGTCTGACTCTGGCACTTGAGATGCAGTTGGGAAATGTAATGTAAATGAGGAGCCTTGCTGCTTCTGATACTGCCTTGTATTAACTGTCATTGTTCACAGAACACCGTGAGCCCTTTGAATGCAGGGGCTGTTTTGCTCATCTTTTAATTGCCTCCCCACTCAAAAAAAACATACACAACAGTTAATAAATGTTTATTGGCTTAAGAAAAACCATCCCCTCCCTTTGCTAACTTGCTTTCAGAGAAACTTTATCCCCCACCAAGATACCACTTAGATCTCATTTTGAGCGACCTGGAAAAGAAACTGAGCAATTTTCCTACCAATTAAAATGTATTTGAGCCACCACTGCTTGACAATATACTAGTGATGGTACGTGCTGACGTCTAATTCAGCAAGTGCTCTAATTATTTTCTCCTAGATTGTCAAACGATATTCTGCATGTTCACATATTATAAAACATCAAGAGTATATGAGCTTAAGAGGAAGTCCACACTCAGCATCAGTTTAGTACCAGTAAATCAAGCAAGGTTTATGGGTCTGAAAGATAGAGAAGGAAGACAGCAGAGTTGGCACCCAAACTGAGAGCTCAGCAATATTCTTCAGAAGAGTTGGAGGTGCCCACTTCCAGAAACCCAGAATTCTCATTCAGAGCAGTGCAGAGTTATAGATGACAATATCTGAGAGGAGGGGTACACATGGCAAATTTAGGAAGCTCACCTGCCTTCCACCTTTTGACATTTCTGCTTCTGGCCGAGGTAGGGTAACAGGGACTGATTTACCCTTCCATCTGAAAACATCTCGAAAGCACACAAAATATATGAAGCAATGATTTACAAAAGACAGTGACCCTGGAGAGATTAGGGTACCATATGATTGCCCCAGCTTACTTCTCTGAGCATTTCCAGGGCATGGCATAGGGAGAGCCCAGCAGATTCCCAGCTGTTCACAGGGAAGTGTCCCACTGAGGCACACTGCACTACAGAACTGACTGAGGGGCATGCCAGAGGAAACTAGTGGCCAGTAGGTGTTGGCCACCATGCACTGCAGGAGCTGGCTGTGGAGACAGTATATACACGGTAGGAACCTGAAGCTGAAAAAACCCACTTGCATTACAGAATCTGGACACTGGGGCAGCCCAGCTACATGCACTACAGGAGTCAGATGCTAGGGAAGCTGCTGTACTACAGAGCACTAGCAAAGCCACATGGGCTGCAGTACCCCTGCACTGGGGGTACCACAGGCACTGCAGGAGCCCACCCAGCAAGCACACTGGGACAAGAAAGGAAGATCCCAGCGGTGTTTTTCTAGCGCCCTCTAATGGCAAAGGTTAACATGGTGCCTGTTGGCAGAGAAAAAAATAAAGGGCCCATTATTAATTTTCTCAGAGCAGGCAGTAAAAGGTGAATTGGAGCTATACTGACACGGTAATTGTAAATTTCATATGGAAGTGCAAAGGACCTACAATAGCCAAAACAACTTCGAAAAAGAATAAACTTGGTGGACTAACACTACTTTATTTCTATTATAAAGCCACAGTAATAAAAACAGTGTAGTATTGGTGTAAAGAGCGACAAATTAGATCAGTGGAGCAGAATAGATAATCCAGAAATAGTTCCACACATATATGGACAACTGAACTTCAGCAGCTGGAGAAATTCAGTGAAGAAAGAACTGTTTTTTCTGAACAAACAGTGCTAGAACAATTAGATATCCATATCCACACACTAAAAATGAACATGGGTCCATACATACCTCACTCCTGGATCCAATACAGATATTGACTGAAAAATAGATCATAAAGCTAAATATAAAAATAAAAATTAAAGACTTATAGAAGAAAATATAGGTGAATTTTCTGTGACCTTGGATTTGACAAAGATAGGACACCAAAAGAATAAATTGATTAGATACAACCCATAAAAAATAAATAGATGAATTAAAACTTCTCTTCAAAGGTACTCTTAAGAGAAAGAGAAAAAAAATAAAAAACAAGTCAAAAATGGGAAAAAATCTTTGCAAAGCATGTATCTGATAAATTGCTTGTATCCAGGATGTATAAAGAACTCTCAAAATTCAATAACAGAACAGAAAACTCAAAATAAAATCTTGGCCAAAAATTTGAGCAGACTCTTCACCATAGTTAACTGATGACAAATAAGCACATGAAAAGATGCTTAAGCTGATTGGCCATTAGGGAAATAAAATTAAAACAACAGTGAGATATCACTGATCACCTGTTAGAATGGCAAAAATTAAAAAGATAGACCCTAGCAAGTATTGGAGAGCATGTGTAAGAATTGAAACTCATACACAGATGTATTTTCTACTTTAGAAAACATTTTGGCATTTTCTTAAAAAGTTAAATACACCTGCCATGTGATCCAGTGATTCCACTCCTGTATATGTATCCAAGAGAAATGAGAGAAGATCTCCATACAGGGATTTGTCCACACATATTCATCACAGCTTTATTTGTAATAGGCCAAAACTGGAAAGAATTCAGATGTTCACAGGTGAATAGATTTTTTAAAAACCCTATGGTATATCCACATGCTACCCAACAATAAAGTCATAAACTACTGATAGTCACACTACAAGAATGTCACTCAAAATAATTAAGCTGAGTAATTAAGCTGGAAGAAGCTAGACTTTTAAAAAATCACATACTTTCTGATTCATTTTATAAAATTCTAGGAAGTGCAAATTAATGTATAATGCTGGAAAGCATATTAGCATCTGCCTAAGGATGAGGAGTGGAAGGGGGAGGAGGGCAGGAAAGAGGGATACTGAGACTCATGAAGAAATAGTTAGAGATCCTAGATATGTTCACTACCTTGAACGTGTGAGGGTTTCACAAGTGTGTACTATGTCAAATATAATGGAATTTTACACTATAAATGTGTCATTTATTATATGTTTTTATAGTGTGATAACATTGTATAATTTAATATCTTCAAATGTGCTGCCAAAAATTCACCAGAGTAGATGGTTCTATTTGTGAGGGGAAATTGTAGACTTTTCTAAAAGAGAAAAGCTGCACTTTTCTTCTTACAGCTTAAAAAGACATTCAACAAAATAGTCACTCTTTTTTGAATAAGTGCTAAAGCAAACTGTTGAGTCTTAGGAATGATTTATAGTTGAGAGTGGAATCGTAAGAGCTTACCTTGCATCTCTTCTGCTGTGTAATACTGTTGCAGAAATCTGACCTTTTTTCACACCTGTTTTGATTCACAGCATACTGACCTGGCTTCCTCTCTCTTTCCTCTCATGTGTTTTGATATGCCAGATGTATCGTGAAGATCACTGGAGAAATGGTGTTATCCTTCCCTGCCGGCATCACCAGACACTTTGCCAACAACCCATCGCCAGCTGCCCTGACTTTTCGGGTGATAAATTTCAGCAGGTTAGAACACGTCCTGCCAAATCCTCAACTTCTCTGCTGGTAAATATATTTTGCACAATTTATTTAGAGATGTGTGTAGCTTAGCACTTCATACTTAAATGAGGGAAGGATAAGCAAGGGAGTAACACTGTAAAGCAATTACTGCTACTCAGATATGTATGTAGATTCAAACTCAGAACTTTTACCAGCTGTCCAAGTTTTTGGGGGTTGATTGTGTGTCTGTGCACATATGTATTTTAATAGCCAACTATCTCAAATGGTTAAGGAGACATTAGAGTAATAAAATCTGTATTAGTGACAATTTATTTATTGTCTATCTTACCTACCACCAGTGGACATGGATAAGGATGGTGGAAAATGAACCCGATAAAAGGAATAAAATTCATTTGTTTTATTAGCATCTTTAAAGTCAAATTGATACTTGACCTGTGAGTTACTCATCACGTGAGCATGAAAATCTTTCTGTGAAACATAATTTCATTGTAATGATAGTTGTTTTGATGGAACTTTACATGTATTATATCAAAGAAGCTGATATGTATGTGTGTATTTGGATATACTTCACATTTTCTTACTAATACATCTAAATATGATGTCTTTATCATATATACACACATGTACATTCACACAAAAATACACACACTATGTGCTATTTAAAATGATCAACTGTACAAGCTAACTATTGGTAATCAAGTCCTGATATTCTATATAAAAATCTCTCTCTGAAGTGGTCATGTTTTCCCTGTATTGTGACCTCCATCATCCAAATGACCATGTCATTTGCTGGACCACTGCAGTTGCTTTCCTTCTTCCCTCCCTGCCTTCAATCTTCTCCCTCCTACATGTTTTACACAATAACCGAATGACCTCTGATGGGGTAAGTCAGGTGGTCCTTGCTCATAGCCCTCCAGAGGCTCCACATTGCATCTGTACCAGAATCCACGCTAGTTACCGCTGCCTCTGAGGCCCTACCTTGCCTGCTTCTCTGTCCTCATCTCCCACCATCCTGCCTCAGAATCCTTGTGGTGTCAGCCAGACCTGCCAGGCTTGGAGACAGCCTGAGTCCTTTCCCACAAAAAGGCTTTGTGTGCTTGTTGCCTCTGCTCCCAATACTATTTCCACCCGCCTTCACCTGACTCCTGCTCATCCTTCAGATCTCAGCTCCTCTCTGCCTCCTCCAACATCTCAGTCTCCTCCTCACTCCCCAACCCACCATTCATATTATCAAACAGTCTTCTTGTTACTCTCTCTCAAGGTACCTTTTGTCACACTTACTAAAATTAGTAATAAGAAATATATGTGTGTTTCTTCCTTCACCCATTTTCTGCTACTGTAAAGTCCACAAGGGAATGGAACACTGTGTCATTCACCACCGTATCATCAGTGCCTTCCTCTGTGCCTGGCATCTGACACGAACTCGAGTAATATTTATTGAGTGATTGAGCAACTCAACCATAATTTAAGGAATTTAGACAAGCTGGATATTTATGTAGAAATAGCTAAAGATTGTTGGTATTTGTAATTTCTTAACTGAAGGAGGCTTTTTCATTCCAGGGGTGAAAAAACAGTCACAGGTCTTTCAGGCTCATGTTCTCCTCTTTGGTCCTTATGTTGGCTTGGCTTAACTGTCAAACTTGATTCCAGGTTTAAAAGTGTGAAAGTGATAATCAACCACTGAATGAAAATAAATGCGAAATGTTTGAGATTAGAAATTAGAAACTTCTTAATTCAGCTTCCCTCCGTGTCTGTGGTATGCACGTTAAGCTAGCTGATTTTATTTTTCAAGGTTCCTCCACCTGAAATTGGGAATTGTGTGCCTCAATCTCACCGGTTTGTTTATAAATATGATTGGTGTGATAGTTACAGTTTTTGTTCCATTTTTAGGCAGTTGTGTTGCCAAGTTCTCAGGCATGTATGCAGGAATTTTATAGAAATATTACATCTTATGAATTGAATTAAATATCACTCTGAGAATATTTTCATTTGACAAAACATTATATAGACTCTTTTATTATGTACTAAAACAAAACCAAAAAATCCTCAATAATTTGGACCTTGACCCTGAATATTTAGTTATTGTATCAGGGCTGTGCTTGGTCACCTATTGGTTGGGTAGCCTATTTGGTGGTGTTATGCAACGCTGCTCCCCTGCAGTACTAGCACCCCAGCTCCTAAAAGGCAGTGTAACCAGGCCTTTTGACATCTGTTGGGGCTCACCCCCAGCAAAGCCTCTCATTTATGTTTATTGAAAGACTTCATTTAGATTAATAGCTTGGCCTCTGGAAATGAAGAATGACATAGCAGAAATAAAGAACACATTGGAAGGGCTAATCAGCAGAGTAGAGGAAGCTGAGAACTGGATCAGTGAATTAGAAGACAAGGTAGAAAAAAATCAACCAATCAGAAAACCAAATGGAAAACAACAATTAAAAAACAGGAAAACAGCTTAAGAGAACTGAGGGACAACTGGAAACTTAATAATATTCGCATCATAGGAGTCTCCGAAGAAGAAAATGAGCAAGGGTTAGAGAATATATTTGAAGAAATGGTGACAGAAAACTTCCCTAATTTGGTGAAGGAAGAAGGCACTCAAGTTCAAGAAGCACAGAGAGCCCCAAGTAAGAAGAACCCAAACAGACCCACACCGAGACACATAGTAATTAAAATGCCAAAAATTAAAGACAAAGAGAGAATCCTAAAAGCAGCAAGAGATAAGCAACAGGTTACCTACAAAGGAACCCCCATAAGGCTCTCAGCTGACTTCTCAACAGAAACACTACAGGCCAGAAAGGAATGGCATGAAATAATTAGGGTCATAAAAAACAAGGATCTGAATCCAAGACTACTCTATCCAGCAAGGCTATCATTCAAAATAGAAGGTCAAATAAAGAGTTTCCCAGACAAAAAAAGGCTAAGGGAATACATTAGCACCAAACCAGCACTTCAAGAAATGTGAAAAGGACTGCTGTAATTAGTAGAAGAAATAGGAAGAAAAATAGAACCATACTAAGTAAAAATGGCAATAAATAAGTACATATCAATAATCACCTTAAAAGTAAATGGTTTGACAGGGAGGCAGCCAAAATGAGGATACAAAGAAACAGGTCCCAAATGAAAGAACAGAACAAAACCCCAATAAAAGAGCTAAGCGAAATGGAGATAAGCAACCTAACAGATACTGAGTTCAAAATACTGCTTATAAGGATGCTCAATGAACTTAGTGAGAACCTCAGTGAACTTAGGGAGGGTCTCAAGAGCATAAAAAAGGACCAGTTAGAAATCATGGATACACAGTTAGAATTAAAGGAGGCATTAACTGAAATAAAGAATAATTTACACAGCTTCAGTAATAGAGTATGTAAATCCAAGGAGCAAACCATCAATTTGGAATATAAGGAAGCATAAAATCCCCAATCAGAACAGCAAAAAGAAAAAAGAATCCAAAAAAATGAGGATAGTGTAAGGAGCCTCTGGGACAACTTCAAGCATGCCAACATTCGCATCTTGGGGGTGCCCAAAGGAGAAGAGAGAGAACAAGAAATCGAAAACCTGTTTGAAACAATAATGGCAGAAAACTTTCCTAACTTGGTGAAGGAAACAGACATACAAGTCCAGGAAGCACAGAGAGTCCCAAACAAGATGAACCCCAAGAGGCACACACAAAGACACATCAGCATCAAAATGCAAAAGGTTCAAGACAAAGAGAGAATCTTAAAAGCAGCAAGAGAAAGGCAGCTAGTTACCTACAAGGGAGTACCCATTAGGCTGTCAACTGATTTCTCAAAAGAAACTTTGCAGGCCAGAAGGGAGTGGCAAGAAATATTCAGAGTGATGAAAGCCAAGAACCTACAACCAAAATTACTCTATCCTGCAAAGCTGTCATTTAGAATTGATGGACATATTTTATTTATTTATTTTTTATCCTCACCCGAGGACACTTTTCCATTTTTTGTTCAGGTAGAGTGGAAGGGAGAGAGAGGAACAGAGAGAGAGAGAGAAACATCGATGTGAAAGGGACACATTGAGTGGCTGCCACCCGCACGACCAACCAGGGCCGGGGACAAACTGCAACCGAGGTACGTGCCCTTAGCGGGAACCGAACCCGGGCCTCTCAGGACCGCAGGCCGACACTCTAACCGCTGAGCCACACCGGCCAGGGCTAGAATTGATGGACATATAAAAACTTTCCCAGACAAGAAAAAGTTAAAGGAGTTCATCATTACCAAACCGTTATTATATGAAATGATGAAGGGTCTAGAAAAAGATAAAATGTATGAACAAACAAAATGGCAATGAATACATATCTATCAACAATGGAATCTACAAACAAAATGAACAGGAAGAACAGAAACATTCTCATAGATACAGAGAACATTTTGTTGGTTGCCAGTTGGGAAGGGGGTTGGGGGAATGGGTGAAAAAGGTGAAGGGATTAAGAAGCACAAATTCATTGCTAGACTGACAAACCTCAAAGGGAAAGAGGTTGGGGGGGTGGGAAGAAATAAACCAAAGAACTTATATGCATAACCAATGGACACAGACAATAGTGTGGGAAAAGGTGGGAGGGGGGCGGTAGTGCGGAGGAGGGGGTCAATGGGGGGAAAATGTGGAACATCTGTAATACATTTTACATCCAAAAATAAAGATTTGGAAAAAAAAAAAAGTAAATGGTTTGAATGCTTTGATAAAAAGACACAAAGTAGCTGATTGGATAAGAAAGCATGACTCATCTATATGTTGTTTACAAAAATCTCCCAAGCAAATGGAAAGGAAAAAAAAGCTGGGGTAGCAATACTCATATCTGATAATATAGATTCCAAAATGAAGGCCGTAACTAGAGACAAAGAAGGCCACTACATCATGTTGAAAGGATCTATCCAACAGGAAGATATAACCTTGGTAAACATATATGCACCCAATATAGGAGCACCAAAATATATTAAAAATCTTCTGGAGGACTTCAAAGGATAAATTGACAGCAGTACAATCATAGCAAGGACTTCAACACCCCGTTGACATCACTAGATAGATCCTCTAGA